TGCCTGTCCTTTTATAATGGCAATGGTGCCCACTTGGAAAGGTGCCAGAATTGAGTTCCGGTGTGTTCCGACTGAAAAAAAGCCCTGGCCTTGTCATCCGCAGCAGAGGAGGACCGGCTGGGAAGGCCAAGTCCCACCCGCCACCTCCCTGCATTGCCCTCCAGGTCACATCTGCCCTCTTGCACAAGCAATAAATTCCCCATGCAGCCGGCCGGTCTCCTCTCCTACTTTCTGCCAATTCAAAGCTTGTAGCCATCAAAGAAAAAAGAAAAAAACAAAAACAAAAACCCACCAGATCTCTCCTCGTTTGGACCCTGAGCTGATGATCAGCAGCGTAAGCATCATTTCAGCCATTTCCCTGTTGCCCAGCTGCCCCAGTAAGCAAGGTGGAGTCCTGGGAGGCCCCCAACACTGTGAGCTGCACAGATCTGGCCCTGACATTGGCACAGCCCAGCCTGCAACTCAAGAGACACTAATGCCCCGGATTTGCCATGACCAGGCAGTGGAGGGTGGGGAGAGCTGCGTCGTGGTCTTGCCTTTCTAGCCTGCCAGTGCAGTGCAGGGCCGTAGAAAGAACCAAAAATCTACTATCAGAGTAATTCCAGTATTTGGTATTAATTTAATAATAACCATTTCAAATAATGAATTTTATGCTAATTTCCCCATTCTGAATATTAAATTCCAGCCGCAAAATTGCGTTTTTATAGTTGCCGAATAAAACCTCTAATACGAACCTATACATAAGGGTATTTGCTATATATAAATTACACTAGGAACCCAGAGGGAAAACAATCTTTAAAAAGCTCAATATTAATACTTTCTTTCCGGTTTTTATTAAGTGGCTTTTAATGGACTGCTCCAAAACCCTTTCTTGGTGCAATTAGAAGGTTTAATGAGCTATCCCAACCACTGTTATTGGAAAGTCAACAATACAGGAGCCAACAATAGGCAGTTTTAATTGAAAGTAGGGTTCCACATATTTTGTTGGGATTTTTAATTCCACTCAGAAGCAACAGCACATTTCTATCACCTGGGGGAAGCCTTGTCACTCTTGTGACTTAAAACAACATTTCTGTCAAAAAAATAGCTTCCTCCTTGAGCACTTTGCACTTCAGCTCAGTGGAAGACCTATATACTTTGCATGTAGAATATCTCAGGTTCAATCTATGGCATGATTAATTGCGAAGGAACACGACTTTCAGACGTTTCATTTTTGGTTGTAGAATTTGGGGTGCAAAATGGTTTATTTCAGAGGCTGTCTTGCACAGAGGAAAGTGGTGTATAGGAGGGTAAAAAGGTCACTGGAGAAAGGTTTGCACAGGAAGGTCAAAAGTTCACCCTCTCAGACCTGGAAAGATGAAAGCATGGTGGGTTGGTGGTTTAGTTGCTTTGGATAGGGTCTCTCTCTTAAATAGCAGGTTCTTAGTCAGGGGATGTTTCTGCATACATTAGTGGCCCAGGTGACCAAAATGGCTTCAGAAGCTGATAAGTCAATTTTAATAATGTTTCTATGTCATTTATAAGAATTGTATTATTGTGTATTTAGAACTTAATTTATACTGTCTTTTTTTTTTAAACTGCCCTGTGAACTTCTTTGGTAAAAACATTATGTAAATTTCACGATGTATAAGAGAAATCAAGCATATGAACAAGAACTTTCATAATGTTTAAGTCTTGTTCACTATCTTATTTGCTATTCTCTATGCCACTGTCAAGAGGGACGTGGGTGGCGCTGTGGGTTAAACCACAGAGCCTAGGACTTGCTGATCAGAAGGTTGGCAGTTCGAATTCCCGTGACGGGGTGAGCTCCCGTTGCTCGGTCCCTGCTCCTGCCAACCTTGCAGTTCGAAAGCACCTCAAAGTGCAAGTAGATAAATAGGTATCACCCCAGTGGGAAGGTAAACAGCATTTCCGTGCGGTGCTCTGGTTTGCCAGAAGCGGCTTAGTCATGCTGGCCACATGACCCGGAAGCTCCCTCGGCCAATAAAGCGAGATGAGCACCACAACCCCAGAGTTGGCCACAACTGGACCTAATGGTCAGGGGTCCCTTTACCTTTACGCCACTGTCAACACTATCTCACCAAAGATGACAACCCCACTATTGTTCTGCATGCTCATCTTTTTTCCCCAAGGATGAAAGAGACACATGATTCTCCTTGAATTATACACAAAAACCAGAGGTTGTTCTATTAGGCGTTCTTGTCCCTAGATGATCAGCTGTACGGCAAGAGGCTGAACACTAACACACCGAATTGAGAACATGTTGAGCTATTGGAGAGATGCACCCTTGGAGATGGGGTGGGCTTTAACTCACTCTGAATGAAATAATGTGACTCAGCTGGAGAGCATTTGCCATGCTCCATGAGAAGACAGAGAGGGACCACAATGCAGAATTTTAATATTAATCCCCCCCCCAATTGCCAAGAACAGATTAATGTTGTTGGTGCAAACAGCAGCCTAGCAAGAAACTACATGCCAGCACCAATCGATTACTTTCGCCCACGTCAACAAAACATTTTTGTCCAAGGGGCTTTGTCACCAAAGCAGCTCTCAGCCTGTCAGACATCATTCTCTTTGCACATTGCCATGGGTGTAGTCATCAAGAAAAGAGTTTCTTCTAAAATGCAATGCTGAAACACTGCTGCTTAGTCCTGTGTGTTGCTAGTATGTTTTCCCCCTGTCACAATGACAGTAATATTGCTCTCCTCACTACTAGTTTGTATCATGTTTTCTACTTTGATTACTGTTTATCATTTGCATGATGTTTAAGTTTGGTATTTACACTGTGTGATGCTTTGGGCTTATCTATAATTTGGAGAATGCAGTACAAAAAGCTTAATATAAGAACAGGTTTTGGCCAACTGCCTGAAAGACAGAAGAGTGTTCCAGTTTTTAAGATATTATAGAATAAATACATGTTAGAGATAAGCCAAAAAAGTAAATAAGGGTATTCAAAGCTCAATATGAGTTTTACATTTTATCAACAGCATCCTATAGCTGCACGTAGCCTCTAAATCTACTCTAGAGGGTTGGGGAAAACCCTAGAACAGGTTTTGGGGAAACACAGGGAGATGAGAGTGGTGATAAGTCCCATTTTGGGAGCAGACCTTGTTCCCCCCAAACATACCCCAATAAACGCTACATTGAATTCCACCTGAAGAAAGTAATATTCAAAATGCTAATGAGGAAATTAGTAAGAACAATGTATATAGCATTTCTTGAATGTTGTAAGCATTACACATCATCTTAGGAACCTTACAACTACATTGGTAAGAAATGAAATATACATACATACATACATACATACATACATATATACTTGTTCAAAATATAGTGGATGCCTATGTAGGATACATCCTTCTCAGTAGTGGCACCAAAAATGAAACACTCTTCTGTCTTTTAGGCAGTTGGCCAAAACCTGTTCTTATACTAAGCTTTTGGGTTCTGGGATTGACCTGATTTTAGTTCTGTATTTCCTGTTCCTGTTGACATTTTTGACGCTGTTGCTAGTTTTACTATTTTGTTTGGATTGTTTTAATATTTTGCTTTTTTGTGAGATGACATCTGGATTTTTCAAATGGAAAGGTGAGGTGCAACACAAATGTCTGAGATATACGTAACATATACATATATACATACAAGCCTGCCTTTCACAGAGTCATACCTTTCGTTCATCTCACCGGATAAGATAAGGCCACTGTTGTCAACTTTGTATTTCAGATGATCAGCTGAGGGGCTTGTGCAAGGTCACCTAGAGAGGTCACAGTCAAGGTGAAATTCAAACCAGAGACCTTCTGGCTCAGAGCTTATGCTTTTAGTCTCTACATGCCACCAGTTCACAATACCGGGATGGGGAGAAAATACCTATAAACCTCATACACCCAGCTCATTTACTCTATGGGTGAGGCTGATATTCTAAAAGTACCCCCCTTTAGAAACAGTGCTAGTAAAATATCAGGAATGCCTTGGATCAGTTTTGACATACTAGACTCAAATTCCTAAACATGTTAATAATGCATTAGAATTAAATGTAAATGATAAAGCAACATTTGGCTCATAAATAATATCCATAAAGCAAACCATCTTCTCCCTCGATGGGATAAGAAGAAAAGCATTCTGAAAGCAGATGATGGTTGACCTGGGGAAAAGGTTTAGCACACTCTTAAATAATATATGTAAACCTGCAATTCACACTGATGTGCACTCATTTTTCTTGCTATGACACCAAAGTTGAAATAATCCAACCGACAAGACAGAGTACACTTGGTGAAGCTATTACTCAAACAAAGGCGTTTCAGATTTCTCTCTTTAAAAAAATGGGGGGGGGGGAGTATATGCCGCAATTTGGTGCAATTTAGAGCAGTGATATTATGTGCCATTTTGCATTGCAATCAGCTGAGAAATGCTAACATTGATCTTTAAATAACCTGGCTAGTAAACCATTCCTCATGCATGGATTTTTCCTTCTCTTGACCTCTTTGTAGCTCAGAAAAGTTGCATTAAATAGTACAATGGTTCTCACCTCTGCTTGTGGCAACAATCTTATTATCAATATAGCTGAAGCTTTGAAAGACCTATGAAAAAGCTTGCAGGCAAGAGATGGGAACACTTAATTACCCAAATCTCTGTTTAAGAGTACCACTTTTCCCTTCCAAAATGACATTTTCTTCCCTGTCACATTTTCTTCCCTGTCACAGAATACATTCGATTGCTTTTCCTTGACAATAAGCTAGCCTGAACAAAATATTATAGAAATTGTTCTAGGGGAACAGCTCTTAAGAAGCAGGAGAAACCTGTGTATGCACCAACTGGAGATCAAAAAGCACAGATGTATTCAGAATGCATCTTTGAGCATATGGTTGTGGTGTCCTCAAACCCTGGTCAGAAAAGGCTATAGTGGGCAGTGGCATGTATGCAACTTCCTTGATGGGTGAAGTGAAGGGAGCAGCACCATGCCAAAGTGAAGCTTCACTTCAATATCCTAAAACAAAAAAGGAGGAGGATAGCTCAGTGGGCTAGAGTGTGGTGCTGACAACAGCAAGGTTGCAGGTTCAATCCCCATAAGAGACAGCTTTGTACAGTGGTACCTCGGGTTACAAACACTTCAGGTTACAGACGCTTCAGGTTACAGACTCTCCTAACCCAGAAACAGTACCTCAGGTTAAGAAATTTGCTTCAGGATGAGAACAGAAATCGGGTGGCGGCGGCGCAGCGGCAGCAGCGGGAGGCCCCATTAGCTAAAGTGGTACCTCAGGTTAAGAACAGTTTCAGGTTAAGAACGGACCTCCAGAACGAATTAAGTTATTAACCCGAGGTACCACTGTATTCCTGCACTGCAGGGGGTTGGACTAGATGATCCTCAGGGTCCCTTCAAACTCTATGATTCTATGAGAAACACATTTCTGAGTATCTCTCCTACCATAATTTCAGATACAACAGTGCATGTGGTCCTGACGTGCCAATTTTAAAACAAGGTTAGTGGTTTTTTTCAGAGCACACTTACAATACCAATGTAATTCCCTACTGCAAATAAGGGTTGATGCCATCCAACAAAAATAGTAGATTTTCACGTTACCTCTTTCAAATATGGGATGGCTCCTGTGTACAATTAATATGCCTGGTTGTTTTTTTGTATGGATGTGGGTCATGAAAACTCATTGGCAAACCTACAGACAGTGATGCTCCCTGTTTGCGAATTTGCTAAGGAGTAAACGAGGCTCCTTATCAATTGCTACAAAATAGATAACTCATAAACTGCATCAGCTGCCCATTAATCAATCAAAGTTTCTACCAGTCAGAGGTTTAGAGCCACTTTGCCTAGAAAGCTATATTCTTCTGTGCGCTGATTGTACTTTAGCTTGTCAAAACTGCCAGCAGATCCTTTGTGCTGCTGGTCATCAACATCGGATTATAAAAGACGAAGGCAGACCAGTAAGGCAATTTGTTATGTTCCTTCTTGAAACATCGCACACTAATAGAACACTAAGCACTATGAATAGGACACAAAACACTAGGAAGAGATTCCACTCTCAAGAAGCAGGGAGGGAAAGCCATGCCATCCCTGGGAATATTTGAACAATTCTGCAGCGCCAAATGGGTGGATGACCTGTTAAATCCAGTTGGTTAATTCTGGACTTCAGTCTGAGAAATCCTGATTGGGCAGCAAAGGGGTCTCTTGCCAATCTGCTGAAGTCTGCAGTGATGGAGGTCAAGCATTAAGAGGGTTGCATCTTCCCTTTAGGGAGCCAAAGATATTTTTCCTGATCAGGAGGAAAAGTTGGAGAAAAACACTATTATTACCTAAAGAGGATTAAATTTCAGAGTTATCATTCTCTGCAATGGCCTCTTTGTTTATAATTTCGAATCCCAGCAGGTTTAAAAGTAGAAAGGAGGAGGAGGTAGCCTTGCCGTTAGTTCTGTTGAGACAGCTTGTCTGTTTGTAATAGGTTTCTCCAAGCAAAGGGAAGCAGCAAATTGCAAGGTGAGGGAGCAGCTGATGAATGTGCAAATTAAGAAGGTTGTTCTTAACCAGGGATCAGAAAACTTTTTCAGCAGGGGGCCAGTCCACTGTCCCTCAGACCTTGTGGGGGACCCAACTATATATTTTGGGGGGGGGAATGATGCAAGAGCCCCACAAGCCCCTGTGGATGCTTACCTGTGTCTTGCGAGTGGCAGGGGCTGGCGGCGGTGAAACAATGAGCGGCACGCGAAAGGGCTCCGGAGAGGGGCTGCTTTAAATGGCGGCCACTCAAGAGCTGCTGCTGCTGCTGGCACTAACAAAGCCCAGCCCCCTTCCTCCTCTAGGCAGGGCGGGGAAAAGCCAGGAGGAGGGGAGGAGGAGGCACTGCCGAATGAGGGAGAAGGAAAGAATGTGTGTGCTGGCGATCCACAGACCGTCCACAGGCCAGATCCAGAAGGCAATTGGGCCTGATCCAGCCCGTGGGCCTTAGTTCGCCTACCCATGTTCTTAACAGTCCTGCAGCGAAAAGAAAGCCTGTTTGGTTGTGGTGTGTGTGCACACACACTGGCATCTGACCACAAAAGACCCACTCTTAATTCTGCAACAAATTAGATCCAGGCTTCTCCAGGTCCCCTTCCCTCTTTAATTGGATCCATCAAGAAGGGATCCTGCAAAAAATTTACTCCTATGATCATCACTATACATTTAATTTAGCATCAACACTGGAACTGGGTGTTGTATGAAACATAAATGATAGGCAAAGTTGGGAAGCAGAATTCAAAGTTAAAAAATAACTTTGTTACTGGGTGACAAACTGGGTGACAAACAAGACCTGGACTAGATGACAGTTATGGTCCCTTCCAACTCTACAATGAATAGAACAGAAGATAATGGAGTGGAGTTGCCTGGAGAAGACAGGTACGGTCTTGATGAAAGTCTTGGTCAAAAACAAAGTAACCCCACCCCATCCCAAAAAAACCTTGCATTTGTTTGGTCTCTACTTTAGGATTATGCGGCACTATAAGTTTTAATCTTTGAAAAGAAAGGGCTTTGGGGGTTTTTGTTTTTTGTTTTTTTAAAAAATGCTTTTTATTGAGTTTTCTGTAACATATACATGGGGTTTTTTAAACTGAAGCAACTTCTTTTGATTTAGGGTTTGTACACAGGTTTTCAAAATCACACAAGTAACTTTTCAACTGAGTGGCTCTTAGATCCTCAATATTTAACTTACGTTCTCAAACAAAGGTGCCTACTCAGATGACTTAAGGCGCTTACTTGTTAAGAGACCCCAAGTACCGCACTCTTGCTTTGTAAATGTAACACATATTAGCAGACCACAGGACTTCTAAAAGAAACCATATAGAACAGCTCACCCTATTCTTAAGCATGTGCAAATTATTCCCCAACAGCACATAACACAGGGAAAACGTTTCCAGTTGGCAGAAAAGAATATATTTATTTCTCTATAAACATCACTGAGCTGTTGTCTACTATCTGGTGTGTATGAGAGACATTCACAAGAAAATTGTGTCTCGGTCTTAGCATTTCAATGCAATGCCTTATTCATAAATCCAAGGAGCCAACTCAATCTGTGTCTCTCCCCCCCCAAAAAATAATAATTCCTCTCTCTGTGTCGCCTGAGCCTTTCAATCCAACTCTACAGGTAGCAAATTGAAATGTTTAGTGGTCCATTGCAGACAGATTGAATCTGAAAAGAATACGGCAATAAGAACGAAGCCCGGCATCAATATCATATGGTAAAGCTCTCATGCTCAAGATGGCAATGATGTCGGATGAATGACTGAGCATTTGTTAAACTCCTACCATTGTGAAAGCAACCTATTATTTTCCTGGTTGTGCTCCGAAATGCCTCAATCACTGACTGAACAAAGTGAGTGAGAAATAATACAGTTCATTTTCTATTGCCTTTGTTCAATAGAACCATTGTGGTGCAGCACATCCTCCATGCAGTCTTTTCATCAACTTTCTAATATCCTCCCCCTTCGCTCTTTTATCCTTATTTTCCATATGGAGCTCTTCTGATGGATAGCTGTTCTGTTTAAAAGTTGTGTGTGTGTTTTTAAAAAAGCACCACAGCCACTCCCTTAAAAAAATTGTGCACAGGTGTCTAAAAACACACAGTAATATGTCAAAGATCTCTCTTAAGGATTTGTCTAGCAAAGAAAGCTATAATGTTAATATTGTCTGAAGGTTACCATTTCAATAAAACTGAAGAGCTTCACAGCTAGAAACTATCCCTGTCTAAAGACTGCAATATAAGACAGTTCACTGTGATAGATGACCAGTGACTACCCATCCAGTTCTATGCTTACATCTGAGAGGAGTGAGGTTTCCAGCTAAATTCCCCCACCGTGTGGAAATTTGGTTCTTTCCAGAACTGCAACAGATTTTGTAAATCATTAGGCATTTTGTGATTATGTTGCACCATCCAAGCTTGAAGTTCTGCTGTCCAGTGTCTTGATCCATTGTGATGTCTACTAACAAGGGAAGATAGTTCAAGAAAGACAGAGACTGATAGGTCTGGGCTTTTAGAACAGACTGAAAGTTTAAGATTAAGGAAATTCAGGACCTTGGACAAGGACTAAGGTGCTCATTGGAGGCCATGATCAGCAGTCCTGAAGCTAAGACAGAAAAAAGCAAGTTGTCTTGAGTACTGGAGCAGCTGGCTGAACTTTATAGTCTGGGCTACATAGCTCCAAATCAAGTCTTTGCTTTGGCTCCAACCCACCATTAAGTTCCAACAACTGATCTTAGAGACTCTGAATTGTGAGACACACACTCTAGGTCTGGATTCGGGTGAAACTGCCATGGCCTGGCTCCAACTAACTCACAATCATTCACAAGCAGGGCATGAAAAATATACGAAGCTATTTTACACCAAGCTATACTATCTAGTTGAATACATTGGCTCTTCAAGGTCTGAGGCAGAGGTCTTTCCCACCCTGCTGTCTTAGACTTTTAACACTGGAGGTTGCCAAGGGTTGAGTCTGAGAGCAAGAGCATGCAAAATATGTGGTCTCTCTTTGGTGATCACTCATAGCGAAGTAAGATTGTCTTCCATGAACATAGTCTTAATGGTGCGTCCTTTACTGTGGAGGCCAATTCTGGATCCACGTGTGGGGACATAGGCTTCCAGGTGGGAGTTGATCATGGTGAGGATTTGCCAAATGTGCCTTCCTCTTAGCTTGTTTCTCCCTTTCATCCTGAATTCAGACTTCTTCAAATTCCATAATACTTTTGGTAGAGGCTATTCTCCAATTGGAGCAGTCACAGTCCAGTGTTTCTCAATTATCTGTGCTTATATACTGAATTTTTTTAGATCTGCCTTGAGAGACATGTGGTCTACAAGTGTTAGTCACCTTCCTACACCCATTCCCCTGCAATTAACTTACAGTATCTTGTAGTAAGATGCACCCTGCAGCAGCTCTGACTATCAAGGGTAACAACCATTAACTAAATTCACCCCATCAAATACAGTTTTCTCCCCCTCAAAGCAAAGGTTGTGGCTGTAGCATGGCTCAGATTAGACCAGGACTAAGAGTCTTCTTCTTCTCTGGCGATCACTCGTAACCGAGTAAGATTGTCTTCCATAAACACGGTTTTAACAATAAGTCCGTAAGTGACTGTGGAGGCCAATTCTGGATCCACAAGTCCTTCCACAGTGGGGCCATTGGTTCCTGGGCGGGAGTTGATCACGGTGTGGATTTGCCAAGCGTGCCTTCCTCTTGGCACGTTTCTCCCTTGTGTCCTGAGTTCAAGTGTCTTCAAAGCCCATGACACCTTTGGTAAAGGCTGTTCTCCAACTGGAGCGCTCGCAGGCCAGTGTTTCCCAGATGTCGGTGTTTATACTACTTTTTTTTTTATTTTTAGATTTGCCTTGAGACAGTCTTTAAACCTCTTTTGTTGACCACCAGCATTACGCTTTCCATTTTTAAGTTCAGAATAGAGTAGTTGCTTTGGAAGACGATAATCCACACAACATGACCCGCACAACATGACCAGTGGGGAGCCCATTTCAGCACCATTCTTAAACCTTTGAAAATGTGAATCATGAAACAAATAAGGGCATGTGCTTTTCATAGGATCATAGAGTTGGAAGAGATATGAAAAGCCTTCCAAGCCCAATCTACTGCTGATGCAGGAGGTCTACTGCTACCACATCCCTGACATGAGGCCACATCTACAGTGGTGCCCCGCAAGACGAATGCCTCGCAAGACGAAAAACTCGCTAGACGAAAGAGTTTTCCGTTTTTTGAGTTGTTCCGCAAGACAAATTTCCCTATGGGCTTGCTTCGCAAGACGAAACGTCTTGCGAGTTCTTGCGAGTTTGTTTCCTTTTTCTTAAAGCCGCTAAGCCGTTACTAGCCGCTAAGCCGCTAATAGCCGTGCTTTGCAAGACGAAAAAACCGCAAGACGAAGAGACTTGCGGAACGGATTAATTTTGTCTTGCGAGGCACCACTGTAGTTTAAAAACTTTTAATGAAGGGGGCGGAAATGCCCATCTCTATTCAACAGCAACAGTAAACAAATTTGCTCTACCATCTATGAAGGAGCCCTTCAAGCGTCTGACTGGGGTTTTGAGCATGTGCAGAGTTACTTTGCCTCACTATTCATTATCTTAGACTTAGTCACATGTGGGATTAGGAAGAAAGGTTTTCTAGCAAAATGTATTATTGGATGAAATTCAGCACTGGCGATCGGCCATCAGAACAATGTGCTGTCTTACACGGTAACAAAAACATTTATAAAAGAAAAGGAAAGTGGAGAAAAGCTATTTTCAAAGCTTGCTCTAAGGAGTCTTATCTGGCCCTAGGAAGCACGGTGCTGTTGTTTCCTCCAATGCTGTATCCATCATGGGGGGCTTTTGTTTATTCGGTCTATGAGTATGAGCCTGATAGCAGCAGGATTTAATTCCCCCTGAGGGGACCCACTGGTACCACAGACAACTAATGCACATTCTAGTCATTATTCTGCCTTTGTGTTTGAATAGTAGGAGATTATTTATTTGTTTATTTTTATTATTGCATTTCAAAAGCATTTCAAAAGTGTCTGACTAAGGCATCAGTTAACCAAAGCTTTGGACAATCCAGAGAAACAGTGGGTGATCCTCCACAGTGATGTGTGCTTTGCAGGGGTTTAAAAAACAAAAACAGAGGAAGAAACAGGATTGTTGAAGATATGACCAGCTAAGAACTGGGAAGTTAGTATTGCTTGAAGCAGAGCAAGATACAAGATGTAAGAGAAAGGTTGGCACATTCCAACCCTTGGTTTTGTGTGTGAGCGACTAGATACACTTAACAAGTATATGGACCGGTACTACAATATCTAACCGGCTGGCTCTTCTGACAAGAATAGACCTGGACCATATGAGTGTCCAGTAAGGCCCCTTCTCCGTGAGATCCCTATGAAAGAGGGTGGCAGCAACAGAGAGGGGGCCCTTTGGGTTGTGCAGCTCACCCTTCCCCTTTGGAACGCTCTCCCAATTGACGCCCACCTGTGGCCAATGATGATATTCAGAAAAGTAAGCACTTAATTGCACATTCTTTCAAAATCCAATAAAAACGATTTGATTTAATTAATTCAACAAGACTGATGAACTCAATTTAGTGACGCAGACTTTCTAAAGTCCGGTAGTCATTTACACCTCCAACACCCACCTCCCGCCAACTCTTCTGGATCTCAGGCAAAAAGGTATTCCCTGCCTTACTATTTAATCTTTTTCCTGGAGATGTTTGGGGTTTAGATTGTGTCCTTTTGTGTGTGCAATTCACACCCATTTCTAGGGACTGGGCACCTCCCTGCATCAGTTCCTGTTTATTAGTAAGCAACATCTGGTTTATCCTGCTTCACTTGTGAGAAAATCTTGGTAAGGAAATAATAGAATCATAGAACTGTGGAGTTGGAAGGGATCCTGAGGATCATCTAGTCCAGGCTTTCTCAACCTGTGGGTCCCCAGATGTTGCTGAACTACAACTCCCATCACCCCTAGCTAGCAAGGCCAGAGCTCAGGGATGATGGGAGTTGTAGTCCAACAACATCTGGGGACCCACAGGTTGAGAACCACTGATCTAGTCAAACACCCTGCAATGCAGGAATGTGCAGCTGGCCCATATGGGGAGAGAACCCACAACTTTGGCATTATCAGCACCACACTTTAACCAACTGAGCTAGCTGCCTTGGATAATATCTTCCACAGAGACCATATAAGAAAATAACCATGTAAATATTGTATCCCAGTACGTTTCCGAGCACAATTCAAAGTGTTGGTGCTGACCTTTAAAGCCCTAAATGGCCTCGGTCCAGTATATCTGAAGGAGCGTCTCCACCCCATTGTTCTACCCGGACACTGAGGTCCAGCGCCGAGGGCCTTCTGGCGGTTCCCTCACTGCGAGAAGCCAAGTTACAGGGAACCAGGCAGAGGGTCTTCTCGGTGGTGGTGCCCGTTCTGTGGAACGCCCTTCCATCAGATGTCAAAGAGAACAACAACTACCAGACTTTTGGAAGACATCTGAAGGCAGCCCTGTTTAGGGATGCTTTTAATGTTTGATGTATTACAGTATTTTAATATTTTTTGGGAAGCCGCCCAGAGTTGCTGGGGAAGCCCAGCCAGATTGGTGGGGTATAAATAATAAATTAATATTATTATTATCCACTAGTGCCTGAATTTAATATCACCGTGGCATTGGAACCGGTTTGTGTGTGTGTGTGTGTGTTTCTCCTAGCTTTTGAAGGTGACTTTAAACTTTTGGAACAACCCTCATTCTGCAGTTAAAACAGGTGGCAGGAGGTGGTGCCTTCCCTCATAAAGGAGAAAATGCCATAGTAATTTTTTCCCAGTGTTCTGTCTTTTGTCTGACATGAAAATAAAAGACTGTTGTTCTTGATCCATCATAAAGATTCACGGGATTTCACCACCTTTTCCACCTCTGTGGGGCCTACCCGATTTCATCATTCCTCCAGCCTTTTATTGTAAGCCAGGTACTGAATTTTTACAAGGCCAATCTGCTTCTAGTTAAACACAAGCCTTTGATTGTGGTTTAATATAATGGCCCATATGCTCTCAGGCAGCTGTCTCTTGTGCTCCATATCCACAGCAACATGGAGAGTTCTTCTCGACAACAATGTTATTTCCCTGAGAGGGGAAGAGGTAGTCTGCGGTGTAATTTATTCGAGATTGGGCATCTGGTCTCCAGCACAACGATAGAAATTCTGTGGCAATCAGCTTAAATCAAAAGAGGGTTTCACTGAGGTGTAAATGATTATAGGATCCCTCCCTTTCTGGCCATTGGGAAGGGGGTGTTTTGTGGCACCAGATGAGTTTAAATTTTATCTCGTCATAAAATTGTCAGATATATATTGTTTGCATTATTACTATGTTTTTATCCTGTCCACCCCCTCAAGCTCCAGCTGATGCATACATGTCTCCAACCACTTTTATCCTGCATGGTAGGCTAAAGAAAGAGCTATTTTTAGCCAAAGGAAAAGAATAAAATTTTGAGTCTTTTTTTTTTTTTGTAAAGTAACAACATAACAAAAAGCAACCTTTAGAGCTTGATCATGAATGAATGATTCATCGCATCAGCCTTTCCTCTGCAAAACAACAAGCTCTTGCCATTAAGCTAGCTAAGTAGTATTCAAAATTATTTGCTTTTTCATATGCCTTGATCGGAAGCCTCTCACAAAGGAAAATACAGTGGTACCTCGGGTTAAGTACTTAATTCGTTCCGGAGGTCCATTCTTAACCTGAAACTGTTCTTAACCTGAAGCACCACTTTAGCTAATGGGGCCTCCTGCTGCTGCCGTGCTGCCAGAGCAAAATTTCTGTTCTCATCCTGAAGCAAAGTTCTTAACCCGAGGTAATATTTCTGGGTTAGTGGAGTCTGTAACCTGAAGCGTATGTAACCTGAAGTGTATGTAACCCGAGGTACCACTGTACAACATATATATTGAGAGTTAGAAACCACACATGAGCAGACTTGGTTCACATATTTGTCCAATATCTATTTTTTATGCCATTAAACACTGCTGATTCAAATACGTGGCCTACGGAGGCCATATTACCTTCTAAATCTCCTCCCACCACTTGGTCCAGTATATCTGAAAGAGCGTCTCCACCCCCATCTCTCTGCCCGGACACTGAGGTCCAGCGCCGAGGGCCTTCTGGCGGTTCCCTCACTGCGAGAAGTGAAGTTACAGGGAACCAGGCAGAGGGCCTTCTCGGTAGTGGCGCCCGCCCTGTGGAACGCCCTCCCACCAGATGTCAAAGAGAACAACAACTACCAGACTTTTAGAAGACATCTGAAGGCAGCCATGTTTAGGGAAGCTTTTAATGTTTGACAGACTACTGTATTTTAATATTTTGTTGGAAGTCGTCTAGAGCGGCTGGGGAAACCCAGTCAGACGGGCAGGGTATAAATAATAAATTATTATTATTATTATTATTATTATTATTATTATTATTATTCTGCCTGGGGAGGACCCATACTTGAGCAGTGAAACAATGCCTGGAATATATAGGTTCCATGTTTAGACTTTAACACCTCCAGTTAAAAGGATCTCAAGCAACAGGGCTGGGGAAGTTCCCTGTAGAATACCCTGGAGAGTGCCTGCCAATCAGTGTAAACATTGGAGGGCTAGATAGGCCAGTGACCCAACTTGGAATAATGAAGTGATGTCAATACTTCACTTGCATGTGGGAGTCCAACCCCCAACTGAAGAAGCGAAGTTGTAGCTCTCCTTCTGGGACAAACAGAAGAAGCAAACTCTTTAACTTAAAAGTCCAGCCATTAATTGCATAAAGCATTTGTCCACCGCCACAATAAATTTTCTATGCCGATACACTGTAATTCGCAACAGAACAAAGCAAATACAGAGTCTGCTTAGCAGTATGCCTATGTGGCTTTGAGAGCACAGGAAGCCATGGAGCAGAATGCTTTACTTGGATTACTCTCTGCTGAGAGCCAATTCAATCTCAAACGGATTATATACTGAGTGCTGCTGAAGGGTGACCAGAGTAATTTCCCATCTTGTAGGGGCTTAAGGTGACATTCTTTTGAACTTTATGTGTCTCAGAAGCTTAGAGAAAAGCTTTCAATAAACTAGAGGGGGAGTCTGTACCAATTCTATGTCGAAAGTAGATGCATTCTTATCCGAAAGGTTGTGTCCTCTCCATGCCATATGCAAAGTGGCAAAATAAAAACTCAGGAAAGAAAACGACTCTGTGGAACTGAAATTGAGTTCACCCTATGCCTATGATATAACACGGTATTTCAAGTAAGTTGTCTGAAATGTTATTATCCTATTTGCCCACACATATATATATGGTAGCCTCAAATGGGGGGAAGCCTCCTAACACTTTCTCAGTTTGCAAAGGTTTTTTCTGTGTGATCACCAGGAACCAAATCTTTCTCCCCAAAGGTGACTGGGCAAGTGGCTGTCTGCAAGCCTTAGGTCCTAGGCTCTCCAAATAGCAAGGGTGTAAAGGCTGTGCTACCTCTAGGCTTCCAATCTAACACAGGAGTGAGCAAGCTGTGGCCCTCCAGATTGTGTTGGACTACAACTCTGACCATTCATTGGCAATGTCAGTTGGGACTGATGTGACTTGGAGTCCAGCAACATCTGAAGGGTCACAATAACATATCGCACATCAAAGGAAGAAAGAGAACATGATCTGTCCTGGCTATTTGTTTCCATTGCACATATATCTCTGGCCAGAATCACAACTTTGGCCCCAAGGCATGACTAGAGCAAAAAGCTTTATCAGATTGTCCCATCCATTTAACCACAAGACCAACACACTAGAGAACACTGGTTCTCATGTGCAAGTGCTGTGCTTTTTTCTGACGGTACTCAACAGAACACAGTACTGCCACCTCCCTCCCAAATATATATAGTGATTTATTGAGATGGTGGCGAGGTTTTGTTGGGAAGTAGCAAACAGAAAGACACACAGAGAAAGAGAAGGAAGAGAAACTGACTCCTCTTTCTCCTCCCACTTCCATAAGAAACACAACTGTTTGTCTCAGTGGCGCTGGGGAAAGTTTGGAGAAGTTTCAGAGAGGAGGCATACAATTTGGGAAGGAGGGCAGGATGGGTGCTGGGACAGGGGATGGTTAGGGAGCCAGCAGGGTGGGGAAAGGACAAGAGGGAGAGAATTGGAGTCCCAATTATAAAGCGAGGAGGAGTCACGAGTTGTGACCGGAAGCATGGGCCTTCTCTTGCGCATAATGCGGAGCTGCTTGGAGGAGCAGCCTCTGGCCCCTAAGCTCCAAGAATGCAGAGCAGCCACTACAATGACAGGACTTGGCTTGGATCTGTTTCCTTCTCTCCCCCCCCCCCCACTTTTTTTAGGCGACACACACAATGAATGAAGAGCACCAAACGGAGGAGTGGAAAAGGGAGATAAAGAAACTGGACCCACTTGTCAAACCCAAGCCAAGGATGATGCCTTTCAAGTGTGGCTTTCGCCTGAGGAGGGCAGAGCAGATGTCAAGGGAGGGAGGGAGGGAGCCTGGAGGCATTTGTTGTTGTTTAGTCGTTTAGTCGTGTCTGACTCTTCATAACCCCATGTGGACCAGAGCACGCCAGGCACTCCTGTCTTCCACTGCCTCCCACAGTTTGGTCAAACTCATGTTTGTATCTTCGAGAACACTGTCCAGCCATCTTGTCCTCTGTCGTCCCCTTCTCCTTGTGCCCTCAATCTTTCCCAACATCAGGGTCTTTTCCAGGGAGTCTTCTCTTCTCATGAGGTAGCCAAAATATTGCAGCCTCAGCTTCAGGATCTGTCCTTCCAGTGAGCACTCAGGGCTGATTTCCTTAAGAATGGAGAGGTTTGATCTTCTTGCAGTCCATGGGACTCTCAAGAGTCTCCTCCAGCACCAGAATTCAAAAGCATCAATTCTTCGGCGATCAGCCTTCTTTATGGTCCAGCTCTCACTTCCATACCTCACTACTGGGAAAACAATAGCTTTAACTATACGGACTTTTGTTGGCAAGGTGATGTCTCTAAATGTGGTGGCTTAGGATTATTATGTAGGAGGCACACTGGAGTAAATTTGCATTACCCATGGGGGGGTGGGGGGGGAGAGGAAAGACCGGGTCACTGCCCATCCCAGTGTGAAGAAGCCTGGGGTGGTGACTGTGGGATGAGGCAGGGAGCAGTTGGGAATGGAGGCT